CTGCTCAGTTGTGGCCAACTCTTTGAAACCCCATGGATTGCAGCTCACCAGGCTCCTCTACCTTCTTGCCCTTGGCCAAAGGGCGTAGTTCAAAGTTCTTGGTATTTCACTACGATTTTCTTCAATTTCCTCACTGAACTCCCAGCCTCCTTTTCACCCCTCTTTAATTTGTCCATCACATGCAGATTAAAAAAAAAAAAACTCTAAAATGAAAACTGAGGTATATATACCTCTGCTTGTGATGAAGGGTTTTATATCAGTTAGAAAGTGACATAAAATGCTAGATAGCAAACAAGCACAGATGTATGCAACAGCAAGCATTGGTTTGGCCTGTGGATACTGAAAGCTGCTGAAGGGTCTGGCTGACCCAGGCTGGGCTTCAGGGATGGGTTGGCTCTGGTCCGCATGGCTCTTACTTCACAAGCATGAGCGCAGTCTTCTCATGATAACGGCAGAGATACAAGCAGGGAAGTGGAAAGACACAAGGCCTACACTTGAAGCACCTACACTATCACCTACACTTCACTGTACTGGCCAAAACAGACTTCATAAAGGAAATCAGTCCTGAATATTTACTGGGAGGACTGATGCTGAAGCTGAAGCTCCAATACTTTGGCCACCTAACGCAATGAGTTGACTCACTGGAAAAGACCCTGATGCTGGGAAAGACTGAAGGTGGGAGGAGAAGGGGACGACAGAGGATGAGATGATTCGATGGCATCCCCAACTCACTGGACGTGAGTTTGAGTAAACTCCGGGAGTTGGCGATGGACAGGGAGGCTTGGTGTGCTACAGTTCTTGGGGTCGCAAAGAGTCAGACACCACTGAGCAACTGAACTGAAAATCAGACACCTGGCCAAACCCAAAGTCAAGAAGTAGAGAAATTTACTTTATATCTTTATTTGGTAAGAACCGCAAACTCACATGGTAAAGAATGCGGATACACAGAGTGGTAAAGAATGTGGGCCAACAGCATAGTTTTCCATAGACCCTAGCATTCAAGGATAGAGTCTCATCTCCGAGTGAGGCGCAGACGACACCCCATGAGCTTCCTGGGCCTCCTCCCAGCCTCACAGGCCGCTCCCGTGCCCTCTGTGGCCAGGTTAGCACGGGAGATCCGCACGCCCCCGAGTGCACAGTGCTATTTCTTCTCTCTGCCTTGGAGTATGTTATCCCTCCTGTCTTCACCAGGCAAGTGCCCTTTGTTCCTCACAGCCTTCATATGCTCTGATCTTGTCTTTTTTAGTATATCTGGGAATTTCCCACTATCTCTTCTTTTAATTAGTAAGCTTTTGATGGCTGCGCTGGGTCTTTGCTGCTGCTCGCGGGCTTTCTCTAGTTGCAGTGAGCGGGGGCTGTTCTCTCTTGTGGTGTGCAGGCTTCACTGCAACAGCTTCTCTTGTTGCAGAGCACAGGCTCTACGTGCGTGGGCTCAGTAGTTGTGGCCACGTGGACTTAGCTGCCCCACAGCCTGTGAAATCTTCCCAGGCCAGTAAAGGAAACTGAGTCCCCCGCATTGGCAGGTGGATTCTTAACCACTGGACCACCAGTGAAGTTTAATTCAGATCTTCTTGACCAACCCCTTCCCAGGTAAACCAGTTTTCATCGTCCACCTTCACCCCAGCAAATGAGCATACCCCTTCTATTTTCATTGTATTTTGAGCACACAATATGGAAACCCTACACCACTCTTACTCAATTCTTTCCAATCCTTTGGGAATAGAGATTTGCATTTTCAGTGTTTAGTTTATTGAGGTTCTATAAATGTTTTTTGAATGAATACAATCTTTTGGCTGTGTGTTAAGCTTCGCTAGGTTCCAGAAACAGAGTAAGGTGTGCTCTGACCAGGAGACCAAATAGTCTTGTTTTCAAGTCCAGTGAAATTCTAATTGTAAATTAATACATTGATATCCTGGTAAAACCATTATTTGGCTTAGAATCAGATCATTTTCAAATGCGCTGCACCAGGCGCACTGACCTTGAATCACAGAGCCACCAGTAAGATGCCAGGTGAGAAGGGGTCTAAGAGCCAGCTGACTTTTCCCATTTTGTTCCTACCAGTGTAATTCAGGATGGAAGAGACCTGAAGTATATTTGCCTTATGAAACTGTACAACAGTAGGGTGTATGAAGGAAATCAGAGGGTAAATTCCTATCTACTATGCTAATACCTAGAGTCATCCACCTCCAATTCTTGGAAGAGGCCCTAAAATCAGGCTGTGACTGAGGTCTCTACTATCCTCTCCCATAGGAGGACAGGGAGGAATGAATCCAGATGACCTTCCCCACTGTGATGCTGAAATCACTCATACTTTTTTGGTCAATATAGCCTCACTCTGGAATTGTGTGGACCAACCTCTTCTTTAAAGCATCATTGGGTTTTGTGTTCAAGGATAGCCCTCCAGTAGAAATACCTGACTTGGATCCTACACCACTAAGACTCATAAAAAACAAAACAGTCAGTTAGGGACAAAAGTGAGTGTAAAACATACAGCTAAAAACAATGGACTTGGAAAAGGAAATGGCAACACACGCCAGTGTTCTTGCCTGGAAAAGTCCATGGACAGGAGCCTGGCAGGCTGCAGTCCATGGGGTTACATGACTGAGCATGCATGCATGAGGGTGGAGGGAGATGGATTGGTAGCAATAAACTGGTAGAACTTAAAAAAAAAATGGACTCACTATTGTTTGTTGGTTTTTTTCTTTGGGGAAGGAAATGTAAATCAGAGAACAAGAAAACAACTTTTCAGTCCATCAAGATGCATAAATGGCACCCCAAGGGACTCACCTGGTGGTCCAGTGGCTAAGAGCCCTAGGTTCAATCCCCGGTCAGGGAACTAGATCCCAGTACGCCACAATGAAGACCAAAGGTCCCACATGCCGCCGACCCAGCACAGCCAAACAAATAAATAAAAATAACTATTAAAATGGCTAAGACAGTAAATTTTTTTAAAAGGCATGACAAAGGATTTACACATTCAAGAAAGAGCTAATTACAGGATTAACAAATGGTTTACTACCATCAAGAGAAAGCACTAGTTGCTTTGTCTGCTTCCATTTCTAATTTTCTTAAATTCAGGAAAATGTGTGAAATGACTTTACATCATTATCACTTGCTACAAAGCAGAGTTCATTTGGGTGGTCCTGGCAAAGTAATTGTTCATCAGTGGTGTGAATGTACACGAGAAGATATCTGATTTGAAATTCATAATTGAAATGTTATGAGCAGTTTAGCATATGGATCCTTCACATTCACTTAATTGCCAGTTTAGTAATAATTTTATGTAACGAGGCATTATTAATAATACGTGAAATACTAAATTGACGTAATGCCCTAAAAACGTAATATGACATTTGCCACTGAAAGACTATTATGATTCTAGGTGTCTTTACCATGATTTCCAAAACATATGCAATATTAGCTAAGATAAATTAATCCTTACAAATAGCTCGGTTATGAAGTATTTCAAATGCTTTGTAGTACTTCAAATTTGAAGTACTTCAAATTCTTCAAGTTATAATCTTTATTTTTTTTTTTCAAAACATGCAAAACTTTGTCCTTGTGGACTAGCACTGCAACTGTGGCTTGACGCGCCCATCCCACTGGATGGGTGACATCTCGCTCCTCTGTGGCTGAGATGGCATCTGATTCACCAGGAGGAGGAAGTGAGACAGAAAAATCTAGAGGTTTGCCCCAGCTCAAGCACTTAGTAGGAAGAGGGAAGTGAAAGTCACTCAGTCGTGTCCAACTCTTTGCGACCCCATGGACTGTCGCCGCCCACCAGGCTCCTCTGTCCATGGAATTCTCCAGGCAAGAATACTGGAGTGCGTTGCCATGCCCTTCTTTCTCCAAGGGATCTTCCCAACCCAGGGATTGATCCCAGGTCTCCAACCTACTAGAGGATTCTTTACTATCTGAGCTACCAAGGAAGCCCCCCAAAAATAGGGAAGCAGAAGCCAAATGCTCTCTATTGACAGACTCCTCAAAGTCTCATCACACTTCAGGGACTTTAAAATACCTCAACATAGTTTCTAAAACCTTTTTACTGGGGCCATGATTATCATTTGTGATGCCTGAGGGGAAGAGTGCAAATGGAGACTCAACACACTGTCTATGTAAAGTTACAAGGGAAGCAAATAAATGAGTAACTAAAATGTGATCCTTTCCACTCTGACAAGTCTGTCAGAATGACAAAATGGCAAAATATGTAAAAAGTCTTGGTTTTTATATGAGTTAATGTCAGGTAAAATGTAAAATATCAAAAACAACTAACACTGTATTATGTACAGCTGAGTACCTTTGCTGCCCACTTGAAACTATCACAACATTGTTAAATGGCTATGCCCCAATAAAAAATTAAAAGTTCAAAACAAAATTAACCCTGATTACTACTTTATTATTGCTATTCCACTGTTGGGATATGGATGAGTAATGAAATAAAAAACATGCAATTCATAAAAAATTATAGTTCAGCCCATAAAACTTGTTTTTCTTGATTTTATATCTTAGCAAAATTTCTAAATAGCTGTTATAATCAACATTTTAATATTTCTTGTGTTCTGTTGACAGTAATCTAAATAAGTAAAAACTAGAATGTCATTGTAGGCAGATGGAAATTCTAATATACTTTGACAATATATATTAAATGCAAAAACTCATATTTTTCATATATTTTTCAAAAATTTCTCTTCTAAAATATTCAAAATTATGTATTAAACTTAAAAGGTGGAATGGAAATCATAATTGATAACCACTAAACATTTAAATCCATTTAAATAATGTTGAAAATTTTAATTTAACCTTTTGAAATTGTAATTAAATCTTATAAGTATTTTATAAAGACAACCAACTATTTGTAATTATAGCATTTTATATTCATCTGGTTGCCAGTGTAAAGAACTAGCAACACATTGCCACATGTATGTCTAGATAAATATACCTGCATAAATCTATATAGGCATATATATATTTAAGAGTAATGTGATTAATTAATACTCCAAAATGTTCCTAAGGCACCATGTGCAACTGCTGCAAATACTACACAAGCTTGTGAACCAGGAAACGGAACTCAAATGAACATGGAAGAGAAGTTAAGAAAAGGGATACTAAGAACTACTGGGAAACAATACCTCATAGTACAAGAGTCTATTGCCTTCATGCTGACAGGAAGGATTTGACAAGTTAATTAATTTGTCTTTTCTCTCACCTAAGCGTTTCAGCCACTTAAATCCCCCTGCACTCAAAAGCAAGTGCCCGTCTCTGAAGCTGGCAGTGGCAGAACCCATGCATCTGCTCAGCATCTGGACACAGTTGTCTTTTGTTTTGAGGTCATGGGGCAGGCCATGTGAAAGGTGTTTCCCAGCGCCTGGAAGGTGTTAGCCACGAACGCAGATGTTTAGAGGTTAGGACTTCCTATTTCAACACCGAGCACTGGATCTCGAGTGACAGTGCACATTTCCTAAATAAATGTGTGTGCACATGCGTGTGTGTGTGTATGATTGTAGGGTACTCTACAGTTCAAGTCCGAGAGCAAGACTGTCCTTGTCTGGCTTGAGTGCAACACAGAATGTAGTCATGTACAGAGAAAGAGATTATTAAGTGTACTTCCACTCCAACTAAAAACACTGCCTCATAGAGTCTGAAACTTCCCCCTACATGTTTCCCTATTGAAGCGAGCCCATGGCTCAGATCTTTCTCCATCTTTCTGTGATATATTTGGAGGCACAGTGTGGCCATCATCTTTAAAATTTTGTACCTATATCCAAGGCAGGTTTAGCTGAGCACATTGGTATTGCCATATAGCATGGTAAAATACTGAAATTCCTCCACAGCATTTGTTAAGCAATGGTTTTCCTGGGTGTGCCTCCCACCTTCATGTTCCCCTCCTCCCTGCCCTGGAACTCTCTTCCCAAGATCTCTACCTAGACTCTCCAAGACCCTGCTTTAGTGCCTGAGCCACATGTGTGGCTCAACAATTTTAATATCACCCTTGTCAACGTCACATAGCAGGGAAGTACAGCTGAAAGGGACAATGGGTTAACACCATTTGCACTTGCATCACAAAATACTTTAGAGGGCATTGTTGGTGGAATACTGGTAGGATATTCTGGATGGCACCAATTTATCTGAATAATAGGAGAAGAAGAGATGCCCTTTCATTGTGAGGTTGGCTATAGAAATCTGATTCAGGGTCACTTAGGAGAGCTATTTTCATGCTGACAGATGTTCAGTAGCTTTTGTCAAGTGAGTTGGCAGCCTTTTTTCAGTTCCAAGTGGCCAGATGTCCAAATCACTAAAATCACTATTCTAACCTGATGTGTGATTTGATTAAGGTCCTTCCTGGGCTTTTTTGACTCAGAGTTCAGAAATGAATTGGAGCAGAAATTGAGACAGACCAGTAAGGGAGAACTGTAACATGTTCTGACTCTAAGACAAAACTGAATGCTTAAATGCGCCCAGCACTAACCCATTTCATAGATTAATTTAGGATTAAATCTGCATGAAATGTTATCTTAGCACTTTTCGAAAAGCCTGCAAGAAAGAAATTGTTTATTAAAAGTAACTGTGTAATTTCAATGCTGAATATTTTTGTACTGAATGTTCAGCAAAGGCTAGTGAGAATGAAAGAAAGGAGAAAGAAGCTAACATAACATAAAATAACACAGGATATTTTCCAAGTTGGAGTCATTTATTTTGATTTCTGAACCCAAGTTAGTCCAGCACTTTCCAGGTCTAGTTTTGAGTGTGGCCTAGGGTTTCTTCCAGAGCTTGGCCCAGCACCAAGAGGTTGCCTAGTATAAAATTATATAAGCTTCATATATATTTTTACACTTCCATGTTCAGAGACAAACCCAGGCTTTGTGCATACTTAAGTTTAAACACTTTGGAAATCTCTCTTTAAGAAAAAGAACAGAGGGAAGGCAGGAAAGCAACTCAGAGCGATGGGAAATCATCCCTGAGTTCCTGCAAGGAACTAAGTGCGCACTCGTGGTGAGGATCGGAAGGAGCAGGAGACAGAGAGGATAGGCCCAGGAAAACGAAGAAATGGAGCAACCCGTGCAGAACGGAGAGGAAGACCGCCCTTTGGGAGGGGGCAAAGGCCACCAGCCAGAAAGAAATCATAGACAGGGACAGGCTCGCCGACTTGCCCCTAATTTCCAATGGGTCATACCCAATAGGCAGGTCAATGATGGGATGGGTGGAGAGGGAGATGATATGGAAATATTCATGGAGGAGATGAGAGAAATCAGGAGAAAACTTAGGAAGCTGCAGTTGAGGAATTGTCTGCACATCCTTATGGGGGAGCTCTCTAATCACCATGACCATCATGACGAATTTTGCCTTATGCCTTGACTCCTGCCATCTCCAAGAGATTAATACTGTAATTTCCACTGTGGTTCTGTTTTTCCCTGCATTTTCCTGATAATGCCTTTACTGATCTGTTTGCTGTGAACCTTATGTAATTTCAACGGGTGGGTTCTGTGTTACCAGCTTCTAATTGCAGATTGCCTTGGCACCCAGTCTAAGTTTCTGTCAACAGTGAAGTTTCACCCATTTGCATGGAAAAATGTAGAGTTAATAAAGTAATTAAAAAGCAAAAAAAAAAAAAGAAAAAGAATAAAGGGACTTCCCTGGTGGTTCAGTGGGACGTGGGTTCTGGTTCCACTTCAGTGGGATGTGGGTTCTGCTTCCACTTCAGGGGGTGTGGGTTCAATCCCTGGTTGGGGAACTTAAGATTCACATGCCACATGGTGAGGGAGGGAGGGCAGTAGGGATGGAGGGGGGAGGGAGGGATGGAGAGGGGGAAGAAAGAAAAAGACTATAAAATCATGAATTAAAAAACATTAGGGCCCCAACCAAGGCTTTACAAAGGGCCCCTGAAAGTGAAGGACTCTGAAATATAAGCTCCAGGAGCATCAGGGTGGACCCTCCTCTGTCTAGATAGTGCTCCCTGTGTAGTAGGAAACAACAGTTGGGACCTTCTGTTTTACTCCTTGTAAGTTCTTTGTTGTGCTATTGTGTCTACCTTAAAGGAAAACGCAAGTTGGGCAAAATCCACCAGGTTTCTATAGGAAAAGAAAATGGATTTTCTGTCATTTAAAAGAGATATGATTAAGGGGCCACTTCCATATGATGTCTTGATGAAATGTGAATTCTGTGGCCATACAAAAAAAGATAGAATTTGTGCTAGTTTTTTCAAGCTCAAAAATGAGGATACCTGGTATTCATATCTGGAAAATTCTATCAAATCAACTCTATAGTGTCAATCCCTGAACACATTGTAAATTAGAATGATGACAGAGGGTAACCAGACTTCTTGTGGTGATCTTTTCACAGTGTACACAAATGTCCAATCACTATGCCGCACACCTGAAACTGATGTGATGCTGCATGTCAACTATAGTTCAATGATAAAAAATAAACAAAATGAGCAAAAGGCCTCGATAGGCATTACACAGACTACAAAATATAGTCAAGATACATCCAAGAAGATGCTTAATCTCATTAGTAATTCAGTTCAGTTGAGTCACTCAGTCATGCCTGACTCTTTGCGACCCCATACACTACAGCATGCCAGGCTTCCCTGTCCATCACCAATTCCCAGAGCTTGCTCAAACTTATGTCCATCGAGTCAGTGATGCCATCCAACCATTTCATCCTCTGTTGATCCATTCTCCTCCTGCCCTCAATCTTTCCCAGGATCAGGGTCTTTTCCAATGAGTCAGCTCTTCACATGAGGTGGCCAAAGTATTGCAGTTTGTTTCAGCATCAGTCCTTCCAATGAATATTCAGGACTGACTTCCCTTAGGATGGACTGGGTGGATCTCCTTGCAGTCCCAGGGACTCTCAAGAGTCTTCTCCAACACCACAGTTCAAAAGCATCAATTCTTCGGTGCTCAGCTTTCTTTATAGTCCAATTCTCACATCCATACATGACTACTGGGAAAACCACAGCCTTGACTAGACGGACCTTTGTCGACAAAGTTAATGTCTCTGCTTTTTAATGTGCTGTCTAGGTTGGTCATAGCTTTTCTTTCAAGGAGCAAGCATATTTGAATTTCATGGCTTCAGTCACCATCTGCAGTGATTTTAGAGCCCAAGAAAGTAGTCTGTCACTGTTTCCATTGTTTCCCCATATATTTGCCATGAAGTGATGCGACCAGATGTCATGATCTTTTTTTTTGAATGCTGAGTTTTAAGCCAGCTTTTTCACTCTCCTCTTTCATTTTCATCAAGAGGCTCTCAAGTTCCTCTTCACTTTTGGCCATGAGGGTGGTGTCATCTGCATATCTTAGGTTATTGATATTTCTACCAGCATCTTGATTCCAGCTTGTGCTTCACCCAGCCCAGCATTTCAAATGATGTACTCTGCATATAAGTTAAATAAGCAGGGTGACAATATACAGCCTTGACGTACTCCTTTCCCAATTTGGAACCAGTCCATTGTTCCATGTCCCATTCTAACTGTTGCTTCTTGACCTGCATACAGATTTCTCAGGAGGCCGGTAAGGTGTTTGGTATTCCCAACTCTTTTAAGACTTTTCCACAGTTTATTATGATCCACACAGTCAAAGGCTTTGGCACAGTCAATAAAGCGGAAGTAGACGTTTTTCTAGAACTCTCTCACTTTTTCAATCGTCCAACGGATGTTGGCAACTTGATTTTTGGTTCCTCTGCCTTTTCTAAATCCAGCTTGAACATCTATCTGGAAGTTGTTCAAGAACCGAAGTTCTCAGTTCACGAACTGTTGAAGCCTAGCTTGGAGAATTTTGTGCATTACTTTGCTAGCGTGTGAAATGACTGCAATTGTGCATTAGTTTGAACATTCTTTGGCATTGCCTTTCTTTGTGACTGAAATGAAAACTGACATTTTAAAGTCCTGTGGCCACTGCTGAGTTTTCCAAATTTGCTGGCATATTGAGTGCAGCGCTTTCACAGCATCATCTTTGAGGATTTGAAATAGCTCAGTTGGATTTCCATCACCTCCTCTAGCTTTGTTTGTAGTGATGCTTCCCAAGGCCCACTGGACTTCACATTCCAGGATGTCTGGCTCCAGGTGAGTGATCACACCATTGTGGTTATCTGGGCCATGAAGATCTTTTTTGTACAGTTCTTTTGTGTATTCTTGCCACCTCTTCTTGGTATCTTCTGCTTCTGTTAGGTCCTTATCATTTCTGTCCTTTACCATGCCCATCTTTGCATTAAATATTCCTTTGGTATCTCTAATTATCTTGAAGAGATCTCTAGTCTTTCCCATTCTATTGTTTTCCTCTATTCCTTTGCACTGATCACTAAGGAAGGCTTTTTTATCTCTCCTTGCTATTCTTTGAAAGTCTGCATTCAGATGGGTATATCTTTCCTTTTCCCCTTTCCTTCTCTTCTTTTCTCAGCTATTTGTAAGGCCTTCTCAGACAACCATTTTGCCTTTTACATATCTTCTTCTTGTGGATGGTCTTGATTACTGCCTCCTGTATAAAATGACAAACCTCCGACCATAGTTCTTTAGGCACTCTGTCTCTCAGATCTAATCCCTTGAATCTGTTTGTCACTTCCACTGTATAATCGTAAGGGATTGATTTAGGTTATACCTGAATGGCCTAGTGGTTTTCCCTACTTTCTTCAATTTGAGTCTGAATTTTGCAACAGAAATCACGACTACAAAGAGATATCATTTTTCATTAATTTAATCTGCAAAATTCAACAATGTGACAGAACCAATAGTTGAAAGGATAAGGAGGATTTCTTACATATTACTAGCGCGAGTATATACAAGCACAAGCACTTTAAAAAATAATGTAAAATTATTTTGTAAACATGAACATTGGTATACTGCATGTGGATCACTTCTATAACCCAAAAGAAAGTCTTATACAGATATATCAGGAGATGTGTGTAAGAAGTTCATTGTTGTTGTTTATGACTCTTTGAGACCTTAGGACTTGTAGCCCACCAGGCTTCTCTGTCTATGGGATTTCCTAGGCAAGAATACTGGAGTCGGTTGCTATTTCCTTCTCCAGGGGATCTTCCTGACCCAGGGATGGAACCCTGGTCTCCTGCATTGCAGGCCGACTCTTTACCATCTGAGCTACTAGGGAAGTCTGAAGTTCATTGCAGGACTACTTATAAAAGCAAAAAAAAAAGATTAAAATACTCATGAACTTGAGAATAAATAACTAGTGGAATGGTATACAGCAGTAGTAATGAATGAACTGTAACCACTGACAGCAATGGATGGATCTCAGTAATGCAATGTTACATTAAAAAAAAAAAAAACAGGTCCCAGTAGTCACCAATTTACCTGTAGTTAGTAATACTTGTTTTATGAAGCCATGTATATATATATATATATATGTACACACACACACATACATATATATAATAAAACATTTATCCTGCTGTATATATGTAAGATAAACATGCATTTTAGGACAGTGATTATCTTCTGCAGTTACGGTGCTAAGATGGTAGAGGAGCACAGATGCAGATTTAAGTTATTGTCAGTGGTCCAGTTTCAGAATCAACTGGTGATTTCATAGGTGTTTACTGCATCATAAGAATAAATGAATTAATAAAAGATAGGTTCACATGTGAACCATGAAGCCTATATGTCATTAACCAGTAGAACAGAATAGTTCTGTCTGCTTGGGGTTCCATTTAAATCTAAAAAAATCAAAGATGGGGGAGGCCTGGGGAGAGCCCAGGTGTAATGAAGGAGTGCAGAAAGCTGACTGTTAAGTGTCTGATTATATTGTGAAGCATAATTTGGCTGAGATTGCAGACATCTGATCTACCCCAGACAAAAAGCTGATGGTAAACAGGTCTGATACTCTCTCAAAGCAACAGATACCTCAGTTCTACTCACATTCAGGAGCAAGGCGGCTGTGACAATGCTATCCACAGGAGTTGCTCTTTTCCAGCTCTCACCAGCCCCAGTCCAATTCTGTCTTGACCAGCTGACAGGGGCTGAGGCTTTAGGAGAAGGATAGAGCCTATTTTTAATGAACCAGAGGCGATGAGCTCAGGAAATAATTATTCAACCTCACTCTTCTCCCCCCTTCCCACCTGCTTCCAGTATGTTGGCCTCACAGAGAACATGGGCTGCAGCTTCCCCTGGAAACCAGAGGGTAAAGGATCCACTGAGGCAGTGTGTACAGGTCAGCCTGTCAGGGCACACAGCAGGATGGAGAAGGGTAGGAGTAGGTCTGGAGAGACAAGCAGAAGATACACAACACGGGAAGAGAAACAGAAGTGCTGAGGGAAGTTTCTGAGAAAGCTTCTGAAAGGGAGGCAGATTTTTAGCCATCTTTTCTCTTCTTCCTTCCTAGAATGCAGATACAATGCCTAGAAGAACAGGTATCGTATTTTGACCATGGAAGATGAAAAACACATTTGAAGAATGGTAAATCAGGAAGACAGAGAAAGTCTGGTTCCAAAGCAGTCCCTAATAATCTAGTCCCAAAGTCATTGTGACATAATAAAAAAATCAAACAAACCAACCTTTTAATGTCAGGCTTCTGTTACATGCAGCCAAATGCAATCCTGATCAATTCAGACACCTTGCCAAAGTCTCTGATCAGATAGGCTGAATTAT